GCATTCACGAAGGCCGCCCCATCTAATGACCCCAACTGCAGCAGAGTGCAATCTTTGCAGGGAGGGTCAGTTGGCATTCCTGACGAAAACTCTGCTCTGAAGGTTTTTACCTTGGCTAGGCTAGCATTCTCGACATTTTTCTAGTCCCAGTCCACACAGCAGCAAAGGTCTGCTGCCCGTCTGCCTGGGCGTACGGCCGGTCAGGTTCCTACTATAGCACAGCCCCAATTATCACAAGAAACCACCCGCGCAGTGAACCCCACCTCATCCTAGGGGACGAGGTTTAAGTGATCCAATTCACTACCGCCATGGCCACCGTTGCCATAGCTACAGCCGCAGCGGCCGCCGGCTCATCATTATCAGCAGCAGCAGCAGCAGCGAGAAATAAGAAGCAAATCAACCGTCCCTGCATCGTGCCGCCATCATGCCAGTAACTAGCCCCGCATCTAATGAGCTGTTTTTTTCCCCCACACACCCCATCATCTAATGAGCCGTTTTTTCCCCATACTGCACAATGCCGTACGCGTCAGGAAATCTTCTAAATGCGTTAACGCAAGAGCTGTCATACCAATGTTTGCATCCCAAGGCCACGCATTCGAATCAAAACTAAAACGTGCGCAAACACCCTCCTACTTGTGAAAACCTCCCCCTAATTGTGAAAACCCACTCCTTGCAAACCTCCCTCACTCATCAAGGGACGAGGCGAGATGCACCCGCAACCTACCCTTGCCTCCCAAACTGTGCCCAACCTTTGTAAAAATACCTCCCCGGCCATCTGCTCCATCCATGCCTCTGCCTGCATGCATTCATATCCATATATCGAGCCCAGCCACGTATTCGCCCAATGACCCAATGCCTTCCAACCAATACGTCTATCGAGTCCGTCACGAGTGAGCACCACGAGTGGAAGCTCTTCCCGCACATCACGCGTGGCAGCTCCTGCACCCGCTTTTCCCGCACGCAGCCGCTGCCGCCGCCGCCGCGTGCTGCTTCTCCCTCGACAAGAACACAGGCGCCACGGGCACCGAAGCTGGCGCACATGCCTCCCGGCAATTCTCCACGCAGCCATTGCTAAAAGGGTTCACAAAGCTGTGCCCGTCGGGGCCCTGCAGGTAGCGGTACCGGTGCCAGTTCGCCAGCTCGTTGGTCGTCACGTTACGGGCGATCTGCGATGCCTGCGCGATCGCCAGCGCAGCCACGCTTAGCCCCACGAACACGTCTATCACCTCGAATAGAATCATCCACACCAAGCTGTCGGGCCGCCAGTATTGCGCGTTGACGTGGCGGTTTATCTGTATGACCCCGACCACAGCGGACACGACCATGGCATACAGGGCCATCCATAGAAACGCCAGGAACAGGTGCCGGTTGCCTTTGCCGATGGCGTTGCCTACCCACGGGCAGAAGTGGTCGAAAACCTGCCCAAAGCAAAAAGACGACATTGACGAGACGGGTACAAAGGCAGGACAGGCGATGAAGGTATGGACGACGCGGACTGATACCATAATGGTACAAAGGAATGCAGGGTACGAAGGAACGATGCGCTTGGAACGTTCCTTTTGTTGGAGAACCATGGGTTGCCGCATGCAAGCCCAGAAGAGAGCTGCCGTAGTTCTCGCTCGGGTGTTGACGAAGGGGCTCGTCCCCGGGCCGCCGCAATCCACGCAAAAGGTCTGCGCCACCTTGGTTAGCTGGGGCACAGCTACGAGGCAAAAAGTCCATGCTGTCGTCTACCCCGCACACCTCATCACCCCGTGTCACCATTTCCCCAGGCCTCACCTCAATGCATCGATCCGTGACGGAACAATGCTTCGCCCGCAATGGCCGCACAATGCGGCACGTTACACACAGCTGCTGCCAATTGCCCGCCCACAGCGCCGGTGAATCCAACAACTTGGCATGCCCGTATTTGGCACCACGCGACGCAACACCGCCGCTGCCGCCGCCGCCAGCTCCGTTGCCAGCTCCGCTGCCGCCATTGACCGCAGCGACGCTGCGCTGCACCGCCGCCCCGCTGCTAGCTGGAACCACAGCACCACCCACCAGCGGTGCCTGCACCTCATCTGCCGAGCTGCTGCAGCTGCCGCTGCCACAGCTGTTGCAGCCGCTGTCCCGCTTGTTGTAGGTCTCCCAGCCCGTAGGGATGTAGCCCGGGTCGCTGGTAGTTACCTTGTACAATAAAACAAGCGCCAGGGATGCGGATATGGCAACGCTCCATCCCCAGAACCGCAGCGTTGGACTCATAGAGGGGTCCATGACCTTGTACATGAACAAGCTGACGAGACCGATGATGAGGGCCCAAATGAAGGGACACAGCTGCGTGGCTGTGAGCCACGCCAGCCGACCATGCTTGCCAAACCAGCCCCCTGTCGCACCGCCGGGCTCGTGCTTGGACTTGTACTCCGCGAGGTAGAGGCCAAGGTAGCGATGGCCCTTGTCGATAGCGAGCTGTGCGGGAGTACTGCCAGTTACGTCCTGGTAGGACAGCGCGCAAGCGGACCCGCCCTGGAGCAGCACTGTGCACGCCTCGCCATTTCCCTTGATGGCCGCCCAGTGGAGAGGAGTGCAGCCCTCTTTGTCGGCAAGCGTGTAGCGAGCGTCAAGGACGAGCAGCAGGCGGATAGTGTCATGGAAGCCCTTGTAGGCTGCCCAGTGGAGTGGCGTGCGGCCGTCGTTGTCGGGTACATCGACATCGGCATTCCAGCGCAGAGCCAGGTGATAGAGAACGGCAGTTTGCCCATATTGCGCAGCCACGTGCGCTACGCTGTATCCTCGGTTGTCACGCAGTTCCCAGTCTGCGCCATGCCGCAGCAAGGCCTCGATGACCGGAAGGCTTCCCCGCACCGCGGCCCAGTGAAGAGCCGTCTGGCCGGTGTGATCACTTGCATTTACGTTGGTCCCACGTTGCAAAAGGTAGGTGCTTTCTGGGACACGGTTGTTCAGAGCAGCCCACTGGAGCGGGTAGTACCCATTTTCGTCGGGCTTATTCACGCTGGCCGGATCAGCCTCCACAAACTGCCGTAGCTTGTCAAAATCTCCGTAGGCACAAGCCTTACAAAGCGTGTCAACCACTGCAGGCTGCATGGTACACAAAAGCGCGCGTAGAGGCGCCCACGCAGGCCTAGAAGCTGCAGGGGCGCCTCAGTGGGAAAAAGGACAACACTGTTCACAAAGCTGTGGTCCTGCGGCCCTGCGACGAAAGTTAACGTAACTACCGATAGACTCTAGCCCGTGCAGAGCAACCCACGATAGCTAAAATATGCCTTAGTTTGGCAATTCGTTTATGAACAATCTATAGTAACGGGGTTAGGCAGGCCGGCAGGACGTCAGGGGGTTCGACTGGAAGAGTCTCCGCTAGTTACAAGGCTTTCTGTGCAACCCTCAACATTTGACAAACGCATTTTCAGGAAAATACGATATTTTACTTGTTACAACTCTGCTGCTAAAAGCCATTCTCAGGCGGCCAAGCTGTATCAGGGTCCTGGATCTAGGGCTGAAACACCGTACGACAGGCCCCAGCAGCTGCTGCAGCTGGAAGTGGGACACATTTGCTTGTTCCTTGCTATCACATCTGATAGGACCAGCAATTTATAACTAGGGTCTGCCATGTACCACAGCTTACTTCGTTCAGGAAGGCAGACTTGGCAGTGGACCATCAGAGCTGGTGTTAAATCAATGCACCAGGAAGAGGACATCATCAACTGGGGCCAAAAAAGGGTCGTGCGATGCTAGGAGCAGTACCTTGACGCGCGTCAGGGAGTAAGGGAAACGGCAATGCCATGCGCATTCCGCATGTTGGAACCCAGCTGGTCCCAGCATCGTCAAACGGCCAGCAAGCCGAAAATTCCAAATGTTATGCAGCCACTGATATGCATCGTAGGAACATTTTTTTACATGTATTGGTCATTCGCATCTGTGAATTGTCATGTAACACACCCAGAAAGGGGAAATGGAAAGATTACATGATGCAGGGGAAGCAAAGATGCAGGGAAATAGTGGACTGGAAAGCCCTGATTGCTGCTTGGACCTGTAGTGCATTTTCCGTTGTTTGGAATCCACACGTCAACGGCAATCTCTGCATCTGGTGTTATTGTGCAATATGCAAGGGAATGAAACTTACAACAATGACTCGAGTATGCGGTGACGCGCCAATCCCTCCTTTTTTTAAATCCCGCCCTAATTGATGGTGGGGCTTCCTTTCTTACGAGGACGAAGAATCCTGCCCATGTGCGCAACCATACAGGACGATTTATTTTCTATAAAGGAGGAGAATCAGTTAGGGTGGTGAAAAGACCACCGGGCCGGGGTCGACCATGTCAGGTGGTGTCAGGATGCGGAGCAGAAGTGGCGGGCACCAGTGCCCGGGAGAAGGCACGTCAACTCATGGCATATCTGAAAGAAATTAGTGGGGTCCGGGCATAGGTCCTCCAGTCGACCAGCACCGCTCCCTTGTACAGATAGCACCGATGAATCGTTCATCGAGAATAGCTCATTTCAAATTAGTTCAGATACTTAATTGATCCTGTGTGCTTTCCCTGGCGGAATTGTTGCGGGGAAACACATGTTAACGGTCAGTACAACATCTAACATATACGATACGAATCTTTAAGATCCACTGGACGAGATTCATTTCAATTGCTACGAACCCCTTGCTGATACGTCCTTATGTTGGGTGGGGCAGTTTTCAAAGAACAGTAGCCCAGTCTCGGGCCGCCCCGTCCGTTCCCGTTCCATACTGTTACCGTACTAGTACGACTCATAGCCAAGAACCAAGATGGTCAACACTTTAGTTAACTAGTGTTTAAGTTTCATTTAAAATCTTTAAGCGGCTATATTTATCGTTTCTTGCGTACCAAAGGGAACATCCTGTCTGTTAGTTAGCGGCACGTGAACGGTTATAGAGCATTTTCGGGCTTATGGAGCATTTTCGTTGTCACCACTAGATTGAGTTAAGTAGCTGCACATCGAAAACCGAAGTAACTTGCTGTGTGTGCGATATCATGGCCGCAGCTGCTATCGAAACAGGAGCCGTCAGGCCAACTTATTCCGCGAGCGCCTACTGGGATACTCGCTACATGGGGCCAGCAAAAAATTTTGACTGGTGAGTAATAAAGGTGCTTGTGGTTTGGCCGCCAGTTTACAACTTGTATCGGGAGTGCGTTAGCCAAGCTACGCTGTATGCATGCGTCGATGTATTGCAGGTTCTTCAATTATCCAGCCTTAAAAGCGCTCCTTCGGGAGTACCTGCCGACCGGCCGGGTTCTGCATGTCGGATGTGGGAACAGTAATATCCAGGAGGGTATGGCAGCGGACGGCTTCACCGTAACAAACGTAAGTATTCGGATTTGAAACTTGAATATATCTGACGACGTTTCCAAGGTGTCCATGTTGTCGCAGGTTGATATTTCGCCCGTTGTCATAGAACAGATGAAGCATAAGCACGCAGACATTCAGACCTTGGATTATATGGTAGCGGACTGCAGAGACATGCCACAGCTCGAAAACGGCAGCTTCCAGTCCTGCATCGACAAGGGAACACTAGATGCCGTGCTCTGCAGCCAGTCGGGACAGGTTGACGCAGTCAAGTATCTGCACGAGATTGACAGGTGATCTGCTGAATACTCACAAAGTCTCATAATTCCGTTGGGTTTACTTAATTGCTGCCGTATCATGCGGCCATTGTTTTTTTCCGCAGGCTGCTCCAGCCCAGCGGCAAATTCCTGCTCATATCCCTTGGCGCCCCAGCAGCTCGGCTCTCCCTGCTGCATAAGCAATTATGGGATGGCGTTCAGGTGATGCCTCGCATGGCTCCCAATAGTTAAACGTATCCAATTAGGGGAATATCTCTTCGGCCCCAGCTGCTGTGCGTTCTGCCCCATGCCTCACCAGGGCATAAATAAACGCTGAGCCCTCCCCCTTCCACCCAACTCCCGCAGGTCCTGCTGCTGCCCAAACCGCTGCTGTACCTCCAATCCGACGTCACGCTTACTGGCCGTGCACTGCCCTCCCACTGCGCCGCTGATAAGGACCAGCCCATCGAGGCGCTCGGGCCCTGGCCCGCGTCCGAGGCGGTGCAGGAGCTGGCGACGCGAAACTTAGACACGCGGGACTACTTTTTCGCGTACATTTGCACAAAGCCTCCGACGCCAATCCCGTCGCCGCAGCACCAGTCACCGCAACCAGAAAGTCAGCAGGCATTGACTCTACAGCTGCAGCAGCAGGCGCTACAGCTGCAGGCGCTGTAGCTACACAGCCATTTCAGCTGGAGAAGAAGCCTTCGGCGGGTCTGGATGTGGCGGCTTAGTTGGCGGTTCTTGAGACCCCCACCTAGCTGCGTGAGGGCTGCCGAGAGGCTGGTAAGGCTGCTTGGAACGTCCTAATTAGGGGAGGTACGTCGAGGGCGTGCTACGAACACTGTGGGGCTTGACCTCACGGAGGTGCCAGCAGCCCTGTGATGATGACCAGTCCTCCTCTCCTGAGCGCCAGCCACCCTCCCCCGAGGTCGATAATTGGCGGAGGATTTAGATGTGGAAATGGAGTGGTAGGATGAATATGGGCCGACATGGAGTGAGGTGAAGTTGGGTGAGGTGGGGGAAGAGAGGACTGGGGAAGGGTCTCTGCGTGTGGCGTGTAGTTACGTGAAACGGCAGGAGGCAGGAGATGTGAGAGGCTGGTTGTTTACAAGTTTACAAGTTCCACACGAATGCGGCGGGAAGGTGTCCGCCAGAGCCCGAGGGGTGGCCATGTACTACTACACATGTACAAATGCAGTGGTGTCACCAGACCAGGCCACGCCAGGCCGGGCTGTTTAGCAGGCCGGGCTCTTGTATCCTTGTTTTGGTGTGCAAGGGGAAAGAGAGAGGGAGAGGGGGAGAGAGTGACACACACAGAGAGATGGGCATGAGAAAGACACACAGAGAGTCTCTGTGTTGGAAGCTATGTACCAGGAGGAGGAGCAGGACGATGTGGGTCCATCAAGTGCGTGTAGGAACCGCGGCGAAGGGGGCTCAGCTCAGGGGAGAGCGAGGGCGACGATGAAGATGAGGACAAATATGACGATATGATGATGGCGATGATGATGATGGCGATGATGATGATGATGGTGAATCGCAGAAAGGTATGAGGCGGAAGGTATATGAGAAAAAAAAGGCAACGGCCAGCCGCGCGTTGTGCGTGGGGTGGCGTACGGGTCCATGTGGATGGTACCGTCAGGATAAGACAGACGTATGCTCTAATGTATCTCTGTCTGTTTGCATTTTAGAATCCAGAAAAGCCGCGAAATAGTGATGGGCTCTAGTATGCATGTGCGTATGTATGTATGCACGGGTGCTCTCTACCACCCCTTGGGGATATAGAAGTAGGGTGGAGAAAAGTATTGGTGATACTGGTGATGGTAGGGTGGACGACTCTGCAGTAGGAAGGGGAGCACGAGGATGAGGCGACGAGGCGGGGTGCAACTGGCCAGACCAGGCGTGTTCACGTCTCCACGCGAGGCATGGGAGTGAAGAGGTTGAGGTTGAGGAGAGGAGGGGAGAGAGGACTAGACGTCATGTTCAGTACGTCGTATGCCTTATCCTTATAACACACTAATAAAACCCAGGCTAAACCCTCCGCAACAACGCGCCACTGCGTTCCGTCGTGTGCACTGGCACACTATTACAGCAACCCTAGTCGTAGTTCCGCCGCCACAGCTACAGCAACCTCTACAGTTGCGATTTCCCCCAGCGGCAGCTCAGCTTAGGGGAATGGGAGAATGTTGACACCTGTGCTGTGAAGAGTGTGTGTGGATGTGTGTTGCGGGGTACATCTCGGTCGGGCAGCTGCCGTGAAGCGTGTGCAGTTAACCATGGAGGCCTTTTTGTATTGCTTGTTAGTTCGGTTGGCGAGTCGGTTACGTCGGTTGGTGAGAGCAGGTGCAGACTTGGGGGCGGGGAGAGAGAGAGGCGCGCTCCTGCCAGGGTCGATACGTGATTGGTTCGTTGGTAGTTAGGTAGTTAGGTAGGTACTTTGTTTTTGCATGCAGGCGTGGGGCGTGTGGGTCGTTCACATGGCGTTGTTTTAATTTTCCCGCGCTCTCTGTTTTGAACAGTACCCAACGTGGCTCTGGCGAAAGAGCCCAGGGGGAATAATACCTGGTATATTTATTCCCTTAGAATAAATTTAAACTGATCCAAATCGACTATGATGTTCTACACATCACATTGGGGACGTACACTCGCACATGTGTGTGTGCGTGTTGTGTTTTGCCCCGAAATACCTTTCCACCCGGCCGCGCCCCATCTCTCCCCCCGTCAGCACGGAACACGTCCTGGGTCCTAATTCATAGGGCGCTCATTGTTTGTATGTTTGTATATAATAAAATATTTTTGCTTTTCTCAAACGTATTGCTGTGAGTGGTCACGGTCGTCCAGCTGACATGGCGCTGGAAACATGTCGTACGCTGGTCCTGGTGTTCGTGTCTCACTCTGCACTTTTCATCTGCCCCCCCGTGTTTATAGTAAGGCCGCATCGCTTTCTTTCCTCCATCGCCGGCCCTTTCCCCCGGGACTCCTCTTTCTCTCCCTTTCTCTCTCTCTCGTCCCATTTGCCCAATTTGCGGGGTCATCTGATGCAGTCAGTGATGCACCATCGTTCATTCCGAATCGTTTAGATTTGCGATGTCTACTGTGCATGCGCTGTGCATGCTGCGACACACACACACACACACACACACACGCCGTGGTGTGAGGGCGACAGCGGACATGGAAAAAGCTGCGAAGGCGGCGTTTGCCTGCTGTTTGCCCCAGTTGCCAGGGGAACAGAGACCGCGGGGCCACCGGCTGCATGGGCGCACACACCTGGGTGCTGCAGCGCTGGCGCTGAGCCTGCGATGAGCCTGCGATACAGCTCGCGTGATATATTCAGAATTCAGATGCATCCTGAATATGGATTCATTCGCGTCTGTGATAAGAGAGTGGACGCACCCCCATGCCGATGGACTGTGATGGAGCCTCTGTGTCTTATAGTGACACAACACACAGCTGCGAGCCGACCGACCAGGAGAATGGAGGGTTGGTGCGTTGACGCCGCCGTTGATTTTCCAGGCAGATTCCACTGAAGGCTGGAGATGGCGAGAAGGTTGTGGTGGCGTCGGCACACATGGATGGATAAGTATGGATGAGGGTGTCCTGAAAGGGACTGCCAGGCTATAGCGACCACGGGTAAAGCTATATGTACCGCCATACGTCTCACCATCATAAATAATAAATGTGTACAGGTTCATTGCGGAGTAGGTTCCATCCGGATTTCTGGCTCAAATTCTCAAATTCTGGATCTAGTTTGGCATCGTTCTGGGCCTGTTTTTATGTGCTGGATTATCTTGGGGCGTCGTTGGCCGCTGTGATTATGTTGAAACATGGTGGTGGTGGTGGTGGTGGTGGTGATGGTAGTCCATCCGAACACGGCTTCAGACACGGCTTCAGTAATGTAATATAAACACGGCTTCAGGTGCGTATTGTAAACTCCTACTTTTCTCAAAAGTTACATGACTAGTGCAGGTGAGATAGAGGCAGGAGGGAAAGTGAGAATGACGATGGATGGATGGATGGATGGATGGATACATGAATGAAAGAATCTAGGCAGCAAAGAATATTTAAAAGACATAATATCACATGCACCCCTTCAACCCCCAGAGACAACACATATGCACACACGTGTCTGTGTCTGTTGTGTTGTTGTTGTTGTTGTTGTTGTTGTGATGTTGTTGTTGTACATGACCACACGAAAACAAGTAGGATGTGAAGGGCCCGGCACGTCGTGCCTGGGCCTCCCCTTGCGGTGGGTTGCACACCAGTGGTGGGGCGGCAGGTTAGACATGAGCTCTGTGCGGGGAACTCGAACGACCCACAGGTCCTCATATCTTACACACATGACCAGACCTCTTTCGAACACATCTCTTCCTTGCGCCGCTCTATACCATCATTCTCATCACCGTTATCATAATCCTAATCATTATCAGCATCAGCATCATCAGCATCAGCATCGATCGTGGGACTTCCCCCTTCATCTCGGTTCACTGCAGGGCTGTCCTGGCGAGTAGGGCCGTCATCACCCCACAGGCTCACATGCGTTGAGGCGGCACTGACAGAGATTTGACCATGGACAGCAAAGCAGCCTCGTATTGGGGTCGATCGCCTTCGAGCGTCTGGGCTGTGATAGTGTAGAGGCGGTTGTACCTGGGTGTGGATGGGGATGCATGGGAGGGGAAGGTGTTACCAAGAGGTTGTGTGGAGAGCGGTAGGAGGACTGCTCACGGGGGAGCGAGGGAGGAGATGTGAGAAACAACCGCGGGGGCGATCGGCTCGTGTTCACGTGGGGTAATTAATGGGACACATCAGGACGGGGCCCAGAGCCAGGAACAGTGTACGGCACGTAGGGCTAAGGTTGTACGGAGCTTGTGAGGAAAGAGGCGAGGCAAGGGTGAGAGGAGACGCAGATCCAGGAGATGGAGATCCAGATCCACCGGGCCCCCCGCCACCTCCTGCGTGCATGTCTGTCTGTCTGTCTGTCTGTCTGTATGTATGTATGTATGTATGTATGTACGCTTTCTCCTTCACATCCACACAACCGTTTTCCTCCTAAACCGTGGCCACCCCGCCTCGCACGTTTCTGACTGTTGTACTCGTGCTTGCTTACGGCAATCCATCAACAGGGCTCCCAGACCCATTTCCCTTTACTAATACTTTACACAACACACAATTTCTTCTACGGAAGGGCTCCCTGCTGGAATTCCGAGTTCCCCAGCCAGTAATCCATTACGCCATGGGGCCCCGTAAAACCACCCCGAATTTAAATCCAATTCCGTATCCCAATCCAGACCCGGATCCAAATCCGGGTCCAGATCCAAACCCACATTCCGTTGTACCCCAGGGCGAGCAGGGAATAGAGGTGCCGTTGCGGTTCTGGAAGCTTCTGCACAGTGTACTCTACAAAGTAGCGGCCGGATAGCTCAGTGGCATCAACCAGCTTGGCAACCTGAGGGGGATGGGGAGGGGAGGGGAGGGGAAACACGAACCACGAACGAGTGAAGGGGGGGAGGGGAGGGGAGGGGGCGGAAAAGGCGGCGGCCCCGACCACCGGGGGTTTGGTGTTTGGGGGGATGAAACTAGTGGGGTGGGGTGGGCAGGTTTGTGGGTGAAGGGGAAGCGGTGTAAACCTAAGGAAGGAAGGAAGGAAACGAAGGGAAGGGAGGGGGAAGAGATGTTGTGGGTGCTGGGAAACGCCTCAAACCGCGCTGATCACCCGTCCCACCACAAAATCCCCTTCACCTGCAAACACACACACACATGCACATACATGCACACACATGTACACACACACGCACACACACACGCACATGCACACACATGCACACACACACGCACACACACATGCACACACACACGCACACATGCACACACAAATACACGTACCTGTATCGGCTCCTTGCCTCGCGCCCATTGCGGTGCTCTCAACAAGTACGACCTGTCCTGGGAGTTCACCAACGAACTACCGAACTGGTATGGGCTGCCAAACGAGCCCAGGCGTGTAAACTCCTATACAAGGAAAGCTCCCCCCATGCGCGGAAGGACAAAGGGGGGGGGCCAGAAGAGGGGCCACTGTCGGGGAGCAAGACGGGGGACGTGCAGCATGGCGGTGGCGGCCTCATGAAACGCCTTCCCTCCTCAACCCAACATGAACATCCTTTTTTCTTATAATTTTTATCATTTTTTCATCTTTTTTCCGTAGCGGCACTTTTCCAATCTAACCGCCCCTTACAGCCGGCACCTCCTGAAAATAAGAAGAAAGTCAGCGATATAAGACCCTATTACCTCTACATTTTTTACAGTTTTGTATTTATAGAAATATAATAGGCAGGCGTCCAAATAAAACCCCTGAGCATAGCCCGGGAGACTTTAACCCCCCCCCTTTAAAAACCCTTAAAATGAAGCGTCCCCCTACTGGGAGACCCACCACTGACACGTTGGTTATGACCAACGTCACGTTGACGTCCCGGGGGTTGGCGCCCTCGGGGATCCATACCAGTGTACGGCGGGCACCTGGGGTTCGGTTGGTTTCGGTTGTGTGGAGGAGGAGGAGGGGGTAATCATATGCGAGAAGCTCACGAGATTATGCCGTTATTACAGTAGGAGGCAGGTAGGACTAGTTATCCGTCCAAAGTCCAAAGTCCAAAGTCCTAAACTGCTGAGTGGTCCTTAGCGATGAAAGCATCGACGAGGATGCGGGGTTGTGCTGTTGCGGTGTCGTAATTGCGGATGGGGCTTGGTGCCTGGTGGTGGCGGAGGATAGTCGAATATGCGAATGTGTGCGTGTGTGTAGGTGGTGGCGCCTTCCTCACCCCGCCCCACCCAACCACCTCCTTCCCCCCCAGGCTGCCGAGGGTAGGTCCTCGTGCGCTTGTGCGCGCTTTCTCTCTCTCCCCCTCTCTTTCTCTCTCCTTTCTTCTTTTACGACCTTTCTCCGTTACCATTCGCCTACCCGACCTTAAGCCCCCAAAGCTCTTAAGAAAACCCAATGGCCCCCCATTCTCAACCCCCCCAGCCCCCCCCCCAGCCCCCCCCAGCCTCACCTGAAGCTCCGCTGAAGCTGCTATTCCCCGGCAGCTCACCCTCCCCGAACACCCAGCCGGGTGGTACGGCAAGTGTGAAACCGTCCTGCGGGTCTGCGGGGTCCGGGGGAACGCCGAGGAGGAGGAGGGGGAAGGGGGGAAGTGAGGGAAAACGTTGGATGATGCGTTACAAAATCCTGCTGGTGGTGGTGGTGGTGGTGGTGGTAGTGGTGGTGGTGGTAGTGGTAGTGGTAGTGGTAGTGGTAGTGGTAGTGGTAGTGGTAGTGGTAGTGGTAGTGGTAGTGGTAGTGGTAGTGGTAGTGGTAGTGGTAGTGGTAGTGGTAGTGGTAGTGGTAGTGGTGGTGGTGGTGGTGGTGGTGCTGATGCTTGTGCTTGTGCTTGTGCTTGTGCTTGTGCTTGTGCTTGTGCTTGTGCTTGTGCTTGTGCTGGTGCTGCACGCAAGGCGGAATGGGAAAGTTCCGTCGCATTTCAGCTTCCTTGGTTCGTACGTCGGTTTTGTAGACTGTACGACATCACGTGTACATGGCGTGTAGCCACCTGTTTCAGGTAGGGTACGGCAGCCTTGCTGCTGCAGTGTCTGCTGATCTTATCTGCCTCGCTCCTCTCACTTCGTCCACCACACCGCACAGCGCACAACGCCAAAACTATTTTAAAAGCGCTTTCGCTTTTGGGGATCTGTTCCGCTGGCTGGCATTGTCCCATGCTCCTTGACCCTGACCAATACCCTAGTAGTCGCCTGGCGGGCGATACCTGCGCCACGTCGTTCCCGTACAACCCCGGCCCACCTGTGTATCTGCTGAGCACTGAGGTAGCGCCTGCAGCTTTCCAGCAGGAGTGAAGCGGGAAGAGGAGAGGAAGGAGGAGGGTTGGTAAGGGTCTCCGGACTCTTATGCTATTCCGTAGTTTGGCAGCAGCTTTTGGCTGCTGACGGAAGGGCAACGAAGTAAATTATTATAGTAGGTAACAGAATGCATAGTATGAGCTCGATGCTGGTGGTATATAACATAGTAAGATCAGAACGCGAGCTTTCTGTTGATCGTCCAGCGACTCACCCTCCAACGCTGAAGCAGGTCGCAAAGGAGCCAAGCCGAGAGCAGCGCCAGACGCTAGAAGTAGTTCTCGCCGGCTGCAATTTGGATATACGTCATGGAAAGGGCCGGGAGGGTAGCGGCTTGCTGGTGACAAGCGAAAGCTTTGCGGGTTCGTCCATCACATCGGCACGCACTTGATAACTCGTGGAGCATCTTGACGGTTCGGTTGTTGTGATGAGTCATGTGAGCTGTTTACAATGACCGATCTCCGTCCGAGAGCGCTGGCAAAGGTGGGAACCGGCCGATGACGTGCCAGTGCGCCCGAGCGCCCTGAAACAGAAGTGAGCGCGGTTTGCCTAAGTGCCATTTTCATATATCGCTGGCTACAACGCGACCAGATTGTAGCTAATCGTCAATGATAATTGGACATCAATGTAGGCAGTATCTGGACCGTTGTAAGTTGTTACAAAAGTACGGTCCTTCGTTGCCCGAAAAATCGTCTGTAGGCGGAGCAGTGCCTGAAGCATTACATCGACATTTCCTTGAGATCACCCCGTGTTAGGGGTGTCGCTGTTCATACGAAATGCACTCCTTCAACTCTAAAGGACCACCTATCCGCTGACAAGATAGCTGGAATGTTAGGCGTTGAAAGAAATGAGTGAGCTAGCCGCACTGAAGGCAATTTCTAAAGCAAAAGATAGCGAGGAAAAACGATTGCAGGAGCGCAGGCGGAACATCTTGGTACTTATTCTCCGTCACCTCGCGGACCATGGTTACGTTGACACATATGAGAAGCTGTGCACGGAGACAAACTTAAACCTTCAAAAGGTAAGGATTCTGCTGGTTACACTCCATACCCCCGCCACATGAAGACATGGGCTGTCCGCTCGGTTTGGAACCCCTGAGCCTCGTAGACGTCTCTCACAGGTCGATGTTGCGGACAACATAGATCTAATACGAATCTTGCAAGAGTTTGAAGAGTCTTATGAGCTCAAGTTTGGCAAACGCCCGAAGGTTGTGCGCCGGCTGGTTGAGGAGGTACGAGCCTGACATAGCCGAGCCAGCGGTCTTGCCACAGCTCACATCCTTTAACTTAAACTATCTCCACCTCCCCAATTCCCCACTTCCCCATATCCACGGCGTCGAAAGAACCTAACAGCGGCAGTTTCCGAATTCCGCCGGGATGTTGCCGTTGGGCCCGGGCTATGCAGCTTCCTCTGCGCGCCTTCCACGCTGCGCAGTCACACGCACTGCTTTGACCGCTGACCCAGTTTGCCTCGCCCTGCTTCTTCAAGCTAACCAGGATAGAGAGCTAAAGCTAGGCGCATGGCCGGGTGGGAAAGGGATGAAGGTGTTTTTTTCAGGAGAAGTAAGGCACCGAAGCCCGAACTCGTACAACCCTTTTTTCTTCTCATATTCTTCATCTTTTTACCCCAAACACCGCAAGCACCGGGTCTCCACTTTTTCAGGTCGCGGCGGGAGGCGGCGGTGTTCGGACCCGAGCTGTGTCCGCCTCTTCAGGAAACGGTGGAGCAGGCGGCGGGCCGTCCTCAGCCTCTGGGGGCGGGGCGTTGCAGCGACCCCCAGGTGAGCTCGGCTGTCACCTGTGTTAACCGAGTGTTTCATTGATCTGAGACGCCATGAGCGAATAATGTTGGTGCGGTGCGAATGGGGTGGAGTCGGTTGGAGTCAACAGCGGGCGACACACTGCCGTCCATGCTGGCTGCTGTTTCACCACATCGGCTCCCCAAGATGCCGAGAGATCCCCATTCACAGATAGATAGATAGAGAGAGAGAGAGAGAGATAGATAGATAGATAGATAGAGAGATAGAGATAGATAGAGAGATAGATAGAGAGATAGATAGAGAGATAGATATATATATAGAGAGAGGGAGAGAAAACCGCAAACAATTTGAATCCAACATCCTAAAAAATAGCATCAGATCAAAGTTCAAGGAGGGCTCCAAATCCTGAATCCAAGACTCTTGGATCCCAAGGCGCTCCTTACCCAGGGCAGGTAGTTCCTCGGAAAAGACCCACATCCCTAAACTCTTGCGCCTGCACCCGCTGACAATGATGACGCCGATACGGTTGCATAACGCTCTGCTGATGACTGCGTGACTGCGCCTGCTGGTGCTGCCGTGGTGGCGGTGATGGCGGCGGCTTGGTGAATGGTACGACATAGCCCCCGGTGTCGGCTTCGAGGGGCCCCCCGTGAGCGGTGCAGTGGCGGCCCGACAGCGGCGAGAGGCCGGTGCCGCCATTACCGCCGCCGCGGAGGCCAACCGGCGATCGGAGCTTTTGGAGCGACGGCAACAGGCGCTCAACAGCGTCAAGCCACCGCCGGAAGTGGGAATGCAGCGAATCGCGGGAGTGGCGGTGGACGGCAGGGGTGCCGTACTCAGCGCCGGCAGCGGCGGCGGCGGCGGCGGCGGCGGCGCGATGTCTAGGGAGGATGTGGCGGCGGCGCAGCTTCACGGCCTCCACGTGGCGGGGCAGGTCTGTTGCTAAGAGAGACCTACCCTCTGTATGACTCGAAATGTACGACGTTGCTGTACGGGATATATAGCTTTGTACGGCAGTCAGTCACGTTTTCCTGGCAGAAAGTGATTCATATACCGGTTCACACATTTGACGACGCATTTCCTGCACATGCGTGATTTGGTGAAAAGACGTACAACTCGATAATTATCAAGATCTCTTTCATCATGCGTAGTGTACATCTCCCCCCTGCCTCCCACCCCACGTCCCCCCCTTATCCATCCTACCCAATCTCACCCTATCCCGCAGGCGGCCCACCTGTCCGCCAACCGAGGGGGGGCCCAGGGGCCGGGCGGGGGTGGTAGCGGCAGTGACAGCGACCCGGAGAACTTCTTCGAGCGGAGGGTGCTGAAACCGCTGCCACCGCAATTGCAGGTGCGGATTCGTTTTGTTTCTTGATTTGTTTATTGCTTTGTTGATGATTGTGATGTTGGAGGGTATGTATGTGTGTGTATATATATTTATGTTTGCGTTCGTCTTTGTGTATTAGTCGTGCGTTTGTGGCGCGGAGTTTTGGGTGGATGTGCGTGTGGGCTCGGGTGGGCTCAGGTTGGTGCTGTATGCGGCGGGGGGGGGCTGTTCGCATTCGCGCTGCACCTTTGTTCCCTCACACGTGTCTGTCCCGCGACGTGCGACGTCCTCTGCCTCTCCCCCATTCTTTCCTAAGCAGCCTTTCCGGCCCCTGGGTTGTTCCTCTCCTCCCCGTCCTCGTCTTCATCGTGTTCCTGTCCTAGCTGGGAGAATAACCAACTAACTAATGCGGTTATGGCTAACTACCGCGGTGGTTGGTAAACCCTAAGGACGGTTCTGGACCTTAGACGTCCCGGCGTCTTGGCCGTCCTTGGTGCTGTTTTTCTGTTCCTGGTTTGAACCTTTTCCACTCGCCTTCCTTCCTCCCCACCCACCCACTGGAGGGGTGGCGGGCAGCTGCTCCGTTGTATCTTGCATCGTCATCGTCATCATCATCGTCATCACCATCATCATCATCATCATCATCATTATCATCATCATTATCATCATCATCATTATCATCATCATCATTATCATCATCATTATCATCATCATTATCATCATCATCATGGTATACTTTCAACCCACATACCACTCACCCTACCCCGCCCTCCGCACCCTCTGTGTTAGGGTGAGCTCCGAGACCTGGGCGCCGCCATCACCCGGGACATATTTACAGACTCCCCCAATGTACGATGGGACGACATCGCCGGACTGGATCAGGCGAAGCGGCTGATCAAGGAGGCGGTGGTGATGCCGATCAAGTACCCGCAGCTGTTCACAGGTAGCGGTGATGACGGAGGTTTTGGGTGGTGGTGGTGATGTGTGGGGTGTGCGTTACGTTGTGTTTACAAGTTACAAGTTCCGCACACGAATGGGGATGTGCCAAAGCATCAGTACGTCTATAGAATTACGAAGGACCCCCCAACCATTTTTACCCCTTAGCCTCTATTCATTTTCATTTTTCTGCATTCACCCCTCTGGGTCACCCCTACCGTCCCTCCCCCTACAGGTCTTCTGGCGCCGTGGAAGGGCGTACTGCTGTACGGACCACCGGGAACTGGCAAGGTACGACACATAACCCTCTTCCTGCCCAGCGCCTCCCCTCCGCGTCCTCCATCAAACCCCCTTGTCCCCAATAATATATATGTATATATGTATGTATACACATATATATACACACATTTATATACACACACAAATATGCATGCACGCACAAGTGTGAGCACACACTTGGATTTGTTTTGTCGCGAGGATGGCGTAGTACATAACAAGCTGCTCAGTTGTTAGTTGGAACACACAACTAAATCACATTGCTAACCCCCCAAACCCCCAAACCCCTGGCGCCCCGCGACCCCATGGAGCCGTGTCTCCTGCAGACTCTTCTTGCCAAGGCCGTGGCAACCGAGTGCCGTACAACCTTTTTCAACATCTCTGCATCCTCCATCATTTCCAAATGGCGTGGCGACTCGGAGAAGCTCGTACGGGTACGGGTCGTCCGGTGGTGGTGCTTGACGGTTGGTGACTGGTCTCTGGTCACAGTTGTTACCAGCTGGCCGTTGGCGGTTGATTGATTGAATACCTTCCAGTCCACGTGAAGGAAGTTGGTGGTTGTATATTTCAAGTTACCAGTGCCGCACGGGGGGTCCGTCAAAGCCGGGAGGCCATGGACTATATAGATTGAAAGTTGATTCCACTGTACAACCGATGGTGGTTTTTTGGTCCTGCCAACTCGACCCCTCCTCATATCCAGTCACCCGACATCCGTAGAGACAGATAGATCAGCCACCACCACTAACTCAGCATGCGAGACTCAGTCCATCAACTAGACCTCATTCATCTCCACACCTCAGCAGCGTTAGTAAACCTAAACCTAGGCCTCCCGAACAATGTCGAGAACCTCCCGAACAATTGTATGGGTTTTGCTTTGGGTTGATCGCTTAATGGGCTGAACCACTACTGCCCTGATTATACTACAACACCTTTTTCTCTAACATAACGTAACCTCTTATTTAACCACCCGCGTGCCTTGGGCCTGTTGTTCAAGTTGTCGGGTCTCTCTTCCCTTCCCACCTCCCTTTCTCCCTCTCCCCCCGGGTACCCCACCTTACTAAACCCCACGTGCGCGGCGCGCCCTCCGGAAGTACCAAGCGCAGTTTTGCGCCATTGCCTTTTGGGCTTCTTCGCCGGTTGCGGTGGTTTGGAGGTCGTCGCCGGCAATCGGCTTCCTCCCCCTTCCTTCCATTTGCGTGAGGCGTCTCCCGAGCAGCAAAATGTATTAATTGTTTGTTCGTCATTTAATTTCCCCCCTTTTCTCTTGCCCTGGCAGCAGCTTCAATCGTGTGTGGTTCGTCTTTCCCCCTTTTCCCTCCCTCGCCGCTTCTTTCCTTTTTTCCCCCTCCTAAAGACGTCTTGCGGTATCTATCTATCTATCTATCTATCTAATCCTGGAGTATCCGTCTACATCTGGCACCTGCCTCAGTCTCCGTGGTTCGTCTTACCCCCTTCCTCCCACAGGTGCTATTCGAGTTGGCCCGCTACCATGCCCCCTCCACCGTCTTCCTGGACGAGATTGACGCGCTGATGGCAGCTAGGGGCGGCGAGGGTGAGCACGAGGCCTCACGGCGCATGAAGACGGAGCTGCTCATTCAGATGGACGGACTGGCCCGCGGGGGGGAGCTGGTGTTTGTGCTGGCAGCCACGAACTTGCCTTGGGAGTTGGATATGGTGAGAAGGCATTTGGGAGTTCGGGGGTGGGGGTGGCGGTGGGGATTCCTTGGGGGCGTGGCTAGGTGTTAGTGGTGGGTGGCTTCTTTCCACCAACAACACCACACGCACATGCATGCATACAGACAGGCAGACAGACAGACACAGACACATCTTTGCCCCGCCTCTTTTTCCTGCCATCTGCCCGCACCCGTCCGCTGCTCCGCTCGTCCACACCGCCCCCTCCCGGCCGCCCGCCCTCACCGGGGCCAAAGACCCCCCTCCCGTCCCCCACTGGTTCGCCTCTTCTCTCCCCCCCCTCTTAAGGCCCTTCTTCGTCGGCTTGAGAAGCGCATCCTGGTGCCGCTGCCCAACTCAGCCGCCCGACGAGCCATGTTCGGCACCCTGCTGGCCGGCAGGTGTGCCGCGGATGTGAGCGTGGATATGCTGGCCGACAAGACAGAGGGATACAGGTGCGGGAATGGAGCGAATGGGAAGAACTTTATTTCTCATCCTGACGCATCTCCTCACACACACACACACACACACACACACACACACCTCATCCACCGGACGCCCCGGCAGTTCATTTCTGAGTTTCTCGCATACGATTTCCCGGGGCCCCATCCACCACCCCAGCGCCTCCCCTTCCCCACATCCCCGTCCACCTTCCGCATCTCCACACAGCTCCCCACATCCCCAACTTTATACAAGTCCCCCCAATTCCCCGACTGCTACTCCTCCAGCGGAAGTGATGTTGCTGTGGTGGCCAAGGAGGCGGCCATGCGGCCCCTCCGGAGGCTCATGTCCAAATTGGAGCTGGATGGGCCCGTGGATCCCAACATGAGACTGGAGGTGCGCGTGTGTAAACGTGTGTGTGTATGTGTGTATACGTGTGTGTGTGTTTGGGGGGGGGGAAAGCGGGGAAGGGGGAAAAGGGTTTTTGCAACCACTTTGCAACCACCTTGGGAAAACCTTGAACGTTCAATGTAATATGAAAAACCTCCCAGACCTTTACTTAACCTCCTTCCCGACCTTTCTCCCGCCCAGCTGGGCCCTATCACTGTGGACGACGCACGTGCGGCTCTGGAGGTGACGAAGCCCAGTGCCCGGCTGCACGAGGACAAGTACCGCAAATTTAATGACGAGTACGGCCAGCTGGCCTGATTCGATGGCGGAGCGGCGCAACGCGAAGAAAAGGAGGGGACGCCACGACGCGAGGGTGCGAGAGGGAGAGCGCGGGAATTAACGCTGTTACATTGGTGGACCCTCTACGGAAGGAATGTCTCGGAGTGACCTGATGCCCAGCAAAAGAGGGCCCTCAGGGCCAAGGGAGGTGGAGGGGGGAGAGGTGGTTACCGGGCTTAAACAGAACGAGCGGGTACTGGGCATTCGCTGGGTACCGGGTAGGGCCGGCTAGCGGCCCGACATCAAGTTATCAGTTATCAGCTGCAAGGCACAAGTGAATGGATGGCTTTTATGCTCCAGGAAATATGCCCCTCGAAGTCTGATAGTCCGCCTGTTAGCAGCATGGTCGCCGGACATCAGCCTGCCATACAAATGGAAAACCTCGTCTCATTGTGGGAGCATATTCGTTGTGCAACCGAATAGAACCGAACCGAAAGTCTTGGACAGTAAGGTTTTGCGCTTTTTTCCCTTTGCGATACGGATATGTAAGCAAGGGGGAGCGTACTCTTATGTGTCGCCTGCGGCAGGCGGAAAAAGGGGATGGTAAAGGAAGCAACGAGAATGGAGCTCTCGCATGGACTTGCGCCGCCTAGAGCCATGTTGCCTTGAGATCACATCCAGTTTCTAATACCTAACGCCGAATGCCGAAGAAAAACGATATGCCTCCGCCTGGAATGTAGGACGCAGTTTTCATGCGTTGACGTCAGCCAGCTAAACCCAGCCATGACCGCGCGACAGCCATTTCAAATGTACGGCGACTAGAGGCGCTCCTTAACCTAAGCAGTTTGGCCGTACATTTTGGCTCGTACGGCCAGAATGGGGCCAAAGACTGTAGACTACATAAAGGGCGCTATTAATGCACACCGTGCAGCGCTAATTGGTAAGTTCACAATCCAGCTTGTCATGGAGCAGATGGTGCCGATGCGGGCGCTGCGAAACTCGCAAGTTCGGGAGGACTCACTGTCCACACGGATTGGCAGCCCGGACGTAAAGGCCTTTGAAACCCCGTCTAGTCAGCTGGTAAGCATACACGGTGCCGAAGTAAGCAGATTCTCTGCGGCATTATGTCTCTTGCAGGGAGAGAACACCACACCGCGGCCCCCTGACATGCTTACAAACGAGGGATATGCCCGGCAGGAACGCGCACATCAGAGACGCCATGCATAGGGTATACACGCGCACACAGGCATACTCACGTAACGTTTAGCATAGATCCGAGGAGCTTTGCTTGCATAACTTTGCTTCAACCTATGATGACGGGTTCGGGCTGAACGAGCTGAGGTCCGGGTTTTGTCATGGTTTTGCAAGCTAAGGTCCCGATACCAAGATATAACTGGCGAACATCTCTTTTTTGTTGTGTTTAAATCGTGACGAGATCCTAAAAAACGGCATTTATCGATGTACCACACCTGGGCAGGTTCCAATTTTTATACCTATGTGAAAATCACGTCATATGTTAGCCGAATTAGTCGGGAGCGCGAGATTATGGCTAGCTGCTGAGATGTGGAGTTGAGGTCGCAGTTGATGGACCAGATTCGCGTGCTGGATTGGTGGCGATTGCCGAACCTGCTTTGACACCATACTGCACGTTGAGTAGGGTCTCGCGCATTTTCTAGCCCTAGAGTCAGGACAACAGCAGCCATGGCACAGCCCGGGCTTACCCTGGGACTTCAAGCGGTCAGAGGAGTACAAGGTGTGGCACGCCGCTATCAAAAGCGAGCACCCCCAACTGCCCGACTACCTGATTGACATTGCAATCGCAACATACCGTAGCGCCGACCCCAAGTGGATCAAGGAGCTGGTGCGGCAGGCCAAGAAGGAGGAGCACGCTGCAGGAGGGAAGGCGCCACCGCGCGCAGCGCCCACAAGCACTACTGTCGACGATGCAGTGCGTGTGCTTGACCCAGACCAGCTGCCCGAGGCGCCAATGGTCAAGCTAGCAGACGCCTGAGAAAAACCTTGCCACATAGCAAATCCAACCATGCGCTTCTTCCGCATTCAGCTCAGGGGGACTGGCGGGATGGCATGCACTTTCTTGACCTGCCAGAGTGGCTTGTGGGAGACACCTCTGAGTGGCAGATAGCCATCGAGTCCTTCATCGTGAGCGTCAATACAGTGCCCACAAACTCCATTTACTTCATCGAGAGCAACACCCTCACCCAGGGCAACTCCTACTCGACACTAACCAAGAGCGCAGGCTACCAGCTCATGCCCACGGTGGGGTCCGTGTTCACACGCATCATCCCCAGCAACCTGCTTGGCATCCGCGTCGGCAGCGCCTCCATCCTGCACGGCAGCCTGCACAACTTTCGGCTTGTGGGCATTGATGGCAACCTGATTCCCCCAGATGTGTTTGGCGCCGGCATCACCCCCATCTGGATGATGACCCTCATTGCATACCCTGTGCCGTCCGGTGACGAAAAATGACCTGCCAAGGCAGTAGCATGCAACCATGCAGCACATGCAGCTCATTCACATCAGCTCTGCCAACCGGTGCAGCGGCATGCCAGGTGATTTTTGGGTGACGCTCCCCCACGCGGCAATCAAGCTGGACTGCACCCGTGGCCGCATCAAGGTGTCAGTCGTGTCTGCGGTGGTCAACCGTAGCTGGTACTCGGTCACTGCCGCAAACAGCGCCTTTGCTGTCTTTGACGGCTCCTCCACCGCCAACCTGACCCTGCCCGAAGGGTACTATGATGTGAACAGCCTGCACACCACCCTGGCGGTACTGCTACCCGGCTGGGGGGTGACCTATCTGCGCCTCACCAACAAGTTTCGCTTCCAGCCGCCTGCTGATGGCAAGACCTACCGCTTCAGCTTCCCTGGCTACATGTATGAGCTACTGGGCTTCCAGCGTGGCTCACAGCCCACTGGTACCAGCGCCAACCCACTCGTAAGCCAGCACCCTGTCAAGCTGAACCGAGAAAACACGTTGTGTGTGCATGCCTCCCTCCCTAAAGAATGGGGCGCAGTGGTGGACAACCTGGCGACCTCGGGGTTTGTGGAGGGCCATGTGCTTGTGTCCATACCCATTGATGCCGCCCCATTCGACAACATCACCTTTGCCGCCAACGAATCCGACATGTATACATACGCCCTCAGCGCACAGCACCTGGACGAGATATGCTTCTGGGTGACTGACGACACAGGCCGCACCCTGGAGCCGCAGTACGATTGGTGCATGATGCTGCGAGTCATTTACACAGAGGGAGACGATGCACTTGACACCCTGAGTGGCAGTGTAGCACGCATACGAGACGACATCAGGCTGATGGTGCTCAGCAACCCCAAAATATCTCGCACCTAGACAAAACACACCATGGGACTCGGTGTGCTGCTTGGCAAGGCACGCTCATTTGCAGGCCGTGCACTTGGCAGTGTTGGTGGAGCCATTCGCAAAGTGGCTGAGTTCTCAGCACCCGTGGTGTGCAAGGTTGCGCAGTTTGCGCGGCCTGTCGCAAACGCAGTGAGTGGCATCACCCTGGCCGCAGGGCAGCCTGAAATCGCCCTGTTGGCCAAGGGTGTGAGCAAGACAGCCGACTGGGTGTCTGGCGCTGCACCAAAGGCCGAGGCCGTGCTAGAGAAGGCCAGTGCTATTGGCACGCGCATGCAGGGGGCGGGCAGCACGCTCATGGGTGCGGGCGGCGGGGGCTAAGGCTACGTATTTTCTGTGCTCAGGGCTAGGAAGCACACATGCCACGCTACGACTTTCCCCGCTACACCAAGGGCAGGTACTACGTCCTTAGCGACAGCATACGCTACAAGTGTATGCAGGCCTCGCCGCAAATGACTTTCTTGCCGAATGGGCTGCCTGTCCAGCTCCATGGAAGCCGCGACCCCCCCGCGCATCACCGCCCGTGGCACTGCTCGCAGCCAGGTTGCCAAGGAAGCCCGACTCCGTTATGCCGCAGAGGCTTGAAAAATTGCAATTGTATGATTGTATCTTGTCTCGCGGCCGTAGCGAGGTATCGGCGCGGCGAGCTGGCCACCGAGAAAAGGCAGTTGTGCCGCAATGAATTGTAAATTTTAAGTACCTTTCAGGGATGCGACCGTATTCCATATTAATACGCCAGCTAATACGCCCGTATTAATACGCCGAATACGCCAGCCAGTTGGGGCTGTTTATGCGTTGGCGTATTGTCGGCGTATTGTCGGCGTATTGTTTGTCGTTGGGTTGTCGTACAGTCTGAAAACTCGCCGATTTTGAGAAATATCGAGCTATTGACATTCCCGAGTCATTGGTGTCATTAGTTGATACTTAGGATTAGGTAATAGGTTCGCTTATCATTGGGTTTGCAACATACCTTGTTGTAATAACAACCCGCGAAATGGAAAACGTGCGCGAAGCAAAACGCGCTAAACCGGGACCTAAGCCTAGTGCTGTGTTGGATTATTTCGAAGAAGTCGGTGACTATAGCTCTAGCTCCAAGCGCTATGCTCTCAAGTGCAAGTTCTGCTTGACAACCTTCCCCGCTCACAGAGCCAAAGCGGAATCCCTCATTGCGCACGTAGCATCCCAATGCAAGTGCATCCCTGCGGCCGCGGCAGACGGCCGTCTGTGCCGACTTCTGCTCACGGCACGCTCAACCCTGGCCAGAAGGCGATGTCGTTCGCCGTGGGGGAGTGAGGAGGCTTTAGGGGGGTGTGGTCTGTCGTCTGTGGTGTTGGCCTGACACCCAAGCTATCTCTATTTGGGCTGTAGTATTTGTGATAATCACGGTTTGTTAGGAATGCTAGAATGCAGACGCGAATGTGTGCGCACATGGCTCGATGGCTGTCCAGGTCTGGCTGTTGCCCAAATTCATATTTCATCTTGTGAGATCGTTTTCCAACCACTAAAGCAATACGCCTTTCATTGTAAAAGCGAAAAACATGAATTCCCTGACGGAATAGCGCAAAAGGAATACGCCACGAGTATTGTAATACGGCATGGCGTGAACCCCGGCGTATTAATACGCAATACGCCTGGCGTAATAATTTGAGGTACCATTATTACGCCAGACGGCCAAACCGAATACGGTCGCTTCCCTGGTACCTTTAAGGTTTCACTAATCTTCGTAAGCAGAATGTGCCCTAGAGCGCGACAGGGGCTCAGTCAACAAGGTTGCTGCGGCAAGAGCTTGGAGCTCTATGAGCTGAGGCTGGCTTTAGGTCGAGGAAATATCGTTTAGAAGAGCTTGATGAGCTGGGGAAGGTGGAAGAATGCCATGGCCGTACCATCATCTGCTGCCATTTCTCCTAAAGCTTTATGTAGAATTCTTCCAAACTTTGAGCAGCCATACATACAGCGCAATTTCCAAAAGGCAAGGCCATATCTACACCCAGACTGCTTAAGTTACACCCAGACTGCTTAAGATTCTCACAATGTCCACACCGCCGAAGCTCCAGATGAGCGATATCCCGCAGGAGCTAATCGAGGAGCTGCGCCTCAAGGTCAAGGCGGACGTCGAGAAGAGCGTCCGCGAGGAGCTGCAAAAGAGCGTCCGCGAGGAGCTGCAAAAGAGCGTCCGCGAGGAGCTGCAAAAGAGCGTCCGCGAGGAGCTGCAAAAGCAACTTACGCGCGGACGCTCTTTTGCA